AGTTTTGATTCTTGTCATCCTTGGTTTCCATTTTTTCATCTCCCAAAACTCCTCAGCAAAGTCGGGATTGAAAGCAATCTTGATGAGGGCCCAGGTGCTTTTGATATCAGACGGAACACATGGCAGATGTTTCCCTCAAGGGCCCGAGGGAGGCTCTATGAGCATATGGAAATGCTGGATTCCCTCATTCCGTTTTGCATCCTGGAGTGCCAAAGCAGCGTTTCTCACACTCGGGGCCTTTAAGACACCATAATTTTCAGACTATAAGATGCACCTTAATTTTTGGGGAGGAAAAGAAGAAAAGGAGAATTCTGCCTCTGCCTATTAGCATCAGGACCAGCGGCGTCCTCACTTCCATGCAGGTTTTGATAAGGAGCAGCACAGGCCTATTTATTTATTTATTTATTTATTATTTATTAATTTATTTATTCATTACATGTATATATGCCGCCATTCTCCCGAAGAACTCAGGGCGGCGAACACAAGTTAAGAAACAATTACAATAAAATCCCATTTTAAACCAAATAACTAATTAATAGTAAATAATAAAACCCGGGATCAGAGTCAGCCAATTTGTTTAACAGCCTTCAGGTCCCGACGGAAGGAACGGAGATCAGGAGCCGTCTGGAGCTCGGTAGGTAATTCATTCCAGAGGGTGGGAGCACCCACAGAGAACGCCCTACCCCTGGGCACAGCAAGGTGACATTGGCTCGCCGTTGGAACCCTGAGGAGAGCGGCCCTATGTGAGCGAACAGGATGGTGAGAGGCAGGCAGGAGAAGGTCATGCAAATATCCCGGACCTAAGTCATGTAGGGCCTTATAGGTGAGAACTAGCACCTTGAAGCGGACCTGGAGAACCACTGGTAACCAGTGCAGCTCACGCAGGAGGGGTGTTATATGGGAGTAACGAGGGGCTCCAGTAACAACCCGTGCGGCTGCATTCTGGATCAGCTGGAGTCTCCGGGTGCATCTCAGGGGCAGGCCCATGTAGAGGGAATTGCAGTAATCCAAGTGGGAAGTAACCAGGGCATGAGTGACTGTGCGAAGGTCATCTCAGTCCAGGAAAGGGCGCAACTGGCGCACCAGGTCCCCTGGTCACGGCCGTTAGATGGTCTTCTAGGGACAGCCGAGCATCCAGGAGGACACCCAAGTTGCAAGCCCTATCAACGGGGGCAAGTTTTCCCCATTTATCAAAAGTGATTGGGCCTCTGAAACCCAAAATGCCGGCATCCACAGTCACTCAGTCTTGGAGGGATTGAGTTTGAGTCTGTTTCTGCCCATCCAGGCCCGTACCACCTCCAGGCAACAGGACATCACGGAACGGGCATCTCTGGGGTGGTCTGGGGTGGAGATGTATAATTGGGTATCATCAGCATATTGATGATATTTCACCCCAAAGTCACGAATGATCTCACCCAGTGGCTTCATATAGATGTTAAAGAGCAGGGGGGAGAGAACCAACCCCTGAGGCACCCCACAATTAAGGGGCCTCAGGGTGGATCTCTGCCCTCCCGCCCACACAAACTGAAAGCGACCCGAGAGGTAGGAGGAGAACCACTGTAAGACAGTGCCTCCCACCCCTAACCCCACAAGTCGCTGCACTAGGATACCATGGTCGATGGTATCAAAAGCCGCTGAGAGGTCAAGTAGGACCAGGATGGAGGAACAACCACCATCCCGAGCCCGCCAGAGATCATTCACCAGAGCGACCAATGCCGTTTCCGTGCTGTGTCCGTGTCGGAAGCCTGATTGGTACGAGTCAAGGTATTCCGTTTCTTCCAGGAATTGTGGGAGCTGTTGCACTACTAGTCTCAACAACCTTCGCGATGAAGCGAAGGTTGGAGACGGGACGATAGTTACTAAGTGAGTCTGGATCCAGGGAAGGCTTCTTGAGGAGAGGTCGAACCACCGCCTCCTTAAGAGAGGCGGGGAAGTTCCCCTCTCTCAACGAAGCGTTGACAATTGCCTGGATCCAGTCTCTAGTCACCTCCCTGGCAGCCAAAACCAACCAGGAGGGACAAGGGTCCAATAAGCAAGTGGAAGAACTAAGTTTGCCCATAATCCTGTCCACTTCCTTGACAGAAACAGGGTCAAACTCAATCCAGATATTATTCTCAAGAATAATATAATACCCTAGTCTCCCGATTGGATTCTGGGCCGGGCCCCGATTGCGCCATTCTCCGTGCCGTCTTCTAACCTCCTCCCTGACAGTCAGCTGTTCCTCGGGCTCCATCCACGGCTCTATCAAGCCGGCAACACCTCGGCTCACTGGGAGGGGGTCAAAAGATGGTTAATTGACCCCCGACACCCCTGAAAATGTTGCCTCCCTAAGCTCGGGGTTCACTGCGGAGCCACCATTTTGGTCTGCTGCCCAACGGTCACTTTATCCCTTTAAAGCAGTGTTTCTCAACCTTGGCTGCTGGACGATGTGTGGACTTCAACTCCCAGAATTCCCCAGCCAGCTCTGCTGTCACTCTACCCCGTCACTCTACGCGCATTTAACCGGAGTGGGTGAGGGATGGTTTTCATGGGGGAAGAAGAGCCTTCCCACCCATAGCCGTAGGCAGCAAAGCAGCGCTTCAGTCCTCCTGGACGCTGCTGTCTCGTAAAGACAGTGACCGTCCACTAGGCCTCCCAAGCCCCCCTCACAGTTCCTGTTTTTGAGGCAGGTCTCGCCTAATCGGTATTTCTTCTGCCTTTGGTTTTTTTTCCCCCCTGCCTAAACGCAAAGCTTTGCTTTTCTCCACATGGAAATCCATTTTGTCGGATGGGGCCCATTGTTCAAGTTTGAATTAGCCCCTCTGGGCCTTTTTTCCCCCTCACGATTTGGCTTCCCGCCAAAACCTCCAGCGAGGTTGCAACAGATCGCATGGGGGGGGAGGGCTCCTTTACGTCATTGGCTGGCCTTGAGCCCAGAAGGTGGGGCCAACTTGGTGTATCACGTGGTGTCAGCTCAACGCCACGACGATCACGATGGAGGGGGGGAGTGACACATACACACACAGAGACACGCCCACCAGCCTTGCAAGGGGGTCCAAAACCCGGGAGATTAAAGTAGCCCCGCCTCACGTGGTTTGCATCACGTGATCCAGGCCACACGACTCCTTTCCCCCGTCCACGTGACGCCGCTCCCTTCCGCTGGCCTTGCAGGGCGGCGTGTAGAGCGTAGCAACCGTCGCGCGGGAGGGCCGCGCGGGAGGGCGTGGCCGAGCCGGCGGCTGAGGCGCGGGGCGGGGCGGGGCAGGAGGGAGAGGTCCGGCGGCGGCGGCGGCGGCGCGCGCGGGATGGGCCGCGGCTGAGGTACGGCGCCTGAGGGAGCGAGACCCCCCCCGCCTCCCAAGGCTCTTCCCTCCGGGCTCCCTTGGCCCCGAGATCGGCGGGAAGCTGAGAGGGAGGAGGGGGGGGGGCAAAGGAGCCTCTCGCGGGGGCTTTTAAGGGGGAGGAGGGGGAGGGAGGGCTTCTCTCGAAGACCCCCACCCCACCCCACCCTTAGCAGAAGGAGCCGGATTTGGGGGGGGGGGCTCGGGGGTCCCGGTGACGGAAGAGAGAAGCGCGCCCCTCCTCCCTCCCTCTCTTTCTCTTTCAGATGAGGGGACTGCAACTCCCAGAATTCCCCATGCGGGCTGCGGAGCCTGGGACTTGCAGTCCACCCGCCTCCACGTTGTCTGGGACACAGGGGTCTCCAACCTTGGCCACTTTTAAGACTTGTGGACTTCAACTCCCAGAATTCCTCAGCCAGCTTTGCTTTGCTTTGTTGGCTGAGGAATTCTGGGAATTGAAGTCCACAAGTCTTAAAGTGGCCAAGGTTGGAGAGCGACGTTTTTTCTCTCTTGGGGCTCTGCGTCTCTGCTTTCCGGCCTTCTCCTTCCAAGGGGCAAATTGTGGAGGGTCTTTTCAACAGGAGCCTGAGATGGGAAGAAAGGGAATTCCTCCCACCTTGCCTGGGGTTGCTTTCCCAGTCCTGCCCTGAGCTCCTTTTGCGGCTCCCTTGCGGCAGCTCTTCACCTGCCTTCCGTTTCCCAAACATTTTCCTTGCCTTGCTTGACATGTCGCTTCCTTCCTTCCACGTTTCCTTTTTCAGACTCTGTGGATGCAGCAATATGTAAGGAAAGTGCTTTGAACTAAAAGAAGCACATGTTTAATTTAGGAAGCCGATCTGCATTCGTGTGCAATGGAAGACAGAGGAAACATCTTTTTTCTTTCTTTATGCTGGCATGAAGAGAAACTGTGAAGGAGCTTTTTACTTCTTCTTCTTTTTTTGGATGAAATATTGCATCATATTTGAGGCTGAATCCTGCTCTGCAAAAACAGGGCGTCGGAGGTTATTAAAGTTAATTAGAGGATAATCTTTTTTATTTTAAGGGCATTTCTAAATTATATTGTCTGTCGCAAAACAATTAGGTAGGTAGGCCTACACATCTTAAAGTTGCTAAAGTTGAGAGACCCTGAGCTTGGTTATCTCCTCCAATAGCCCCACTCCATGGAGAAAGCAATTACCATAATTCTTCCTTTGATTCCAGCTCTCAGTTTCTTGGACGGGTGCTCCTGGGGCCTGTTTACATTGAATGCCACCTCTGAATCCATGTCAGATCAATTCAGACTGGGAGACTGCTGCCTGCCTTTGGCCCTGAGGTTATGCTGGGGCTGGGAATCTCAAGGACCCCCCTCCCAGATGGTAGAATCCAGGCAGAGGTCTAAAATGGCTAAATGGCCTTGCCAAGCGAAGGGCAGGAGGCGGAGGCAGAATGTCCTCTCTGCTTATTATCGTTTCCCTGCCAGAAAAATACTTTTGTATTAAAAAATCCAACCTTTTCAATCTTTACTTGTTTTAAAATAGTTTTACTTCCATGATTTGGTTTATTGTGCTTTTATGGTTTTATTTTAAAGGCTTTCCTTTCTCCTTTTCTTAAATCATTTTAAGTTATAAATTGGATTATAAAAGCTGCAAATAGTGTGGTACAGTTGGAAATTAGGTTAAATACCTAGTTTTCTTTACATTTATGGGGAAAGGGAATCAGTTGTTGGTTTAGCTGGAAATAAGACTTACCTATGTTTTTCTACGTGCACCTGTTGTTTGTAGGGTATTTCTTGTGTGAATCATAAACAAGTAATGGGATTTGCAGTGTAATGTGTAATGCATTTTTACAAAATCTTAGCAAAAAGTTGAAATGCAAATGCACTTATTTGGAATTCAGAGTCCTTGAAAGTTGCTGCTGTTGAATGTTTTACTTGATTTTCATCTATGCAATATTGCAAGGAGAAATACAGCCTGTTTCAGCTATAGACTCATGTCTCAATCAATCAATCAGAATAGAGATGGAAGGGATCTTGGAGGTCTTCTAGTTCAGTAATCCCCAATCTTTGAGGCTTGGTGGCCCAGCTGAGGGGGGGGGGGGAGAGAGAGAAACTGGGATGTGCAAGTGCAAGCTGGTGCACATGCGTGCAAGTGCCTACCAACCTGCTGCTCATACAAGTTGAGCTCTTCTGGGATGTTGGGTGCTACTGCCAGCTTTGTATCATCTGCAAATTTGATGAGTTCCCCTTCTAATCCCTCATTTAAGTCATTTATGAAGATATTGAAGAGTATTGGGCCTAAGATGGAACCTTGGGGTACCCCACTGTTTCCTTCCTTCCATGTGGATGATTAAGGACTACTCGTTGAGTGTGGTTTGTCAGCCAGTTACAAATCCATCTGGTGGTGTTGCTGTGTATCCCACATTTTTCTAGTTTACCAAAAGTAGATTGTGATCTACTTTGTCAAATGCCTTGCTGAAGTCTTAAGTATACTATGTCCACAGCATTTTGCTAGTCTACTAATTTAGTCACTTTGTCAAAGAATGAAGTAAGATTGGTTTGGCATGATCTGTTTTTAACAAACCTGTGCTGACTGCTAGTTATAACTTTGTTTCTAGATATTCACAGATCTGTTTTTTGATTATTTCTTTCAGTGTCTTCTCAGGTATTGATGATTAATCTGTAGTTTCCTGGGTCTGTGTTTTTCTCTTTTTTGAAGTTGGGAACCACATTGGCTCTTCTGATCCTCTAGTGCAGGGGTGTCAAACTCAAGGCCCGGGGGCCGGATCTGGCCTGCAGGGTGCTTAGATCTGGCCTGCCAGGCTGCCCTGGAAACAGCAAAGGACCAGCCCATGGTGCCTCTGCCAGTGCAAATGGGACTCGGGAGGGCTGTGGGCGGCCCTTCAGAGCTCCGTTTTCCCTGGCAGAGGATTGCAGGAGGCTGTCGCAGCTGAAAACAGAGCTCGGGAGCGTGATTTCGCTGGCAGAAGTGTTCAGGTCACCATAGGTGCCCCAACACAAGTGACATCGAGCTGGCCACACCCACCCCAGCCCCCCAAGGTCAAACAGAACCCTGATGCGGCCCTGAATGAAATCGAGTTTGATACCCCTGCTCTAGTGGTTCCCGGTGCTCCAGGATTTTTGAAAGATATGGTACAATGGTTCTGAGATGACATCTGCCAGCTCCTTCAGAACTCTGGGATGTAATCTGTCAGGTCCCAGTGATTTATATTCATCAAGATCAGACAGGTGTTCTCTTAAATTTTCTTGCTTATTTTTATTTTTATTTCTAGTCTGTCTTCCACAATTAGGTTTTTAGTAAGTTGGGCTCTTTTTGCGTGAAGAGTGATGCAAAGAATGAATTAAGCAGCAGCTCTGCTTTCTCTCTGCCACCTGCTTCTTCCTTGCCATCTTCTCTCTTTAGTGGACTGACTGTCATCTATATATATTTCTTTCATATATGCATATCCTTTCGGCTTTGAACTCAATCTATTCATAACAAAGCAAGCTGTAAATCTAATTGATACTGGCATCATTTAACTCCTTTACACTTGCTATAAGTGGTTTGTGTTTGAAGAGAAAATCTTTGTACGTATACTTATGTTACTAAATACATATATTTATTGAGCCTGATCAGCTCAAGTTGGACTCAGCCTTCCAAGGTTATTAAATCAAGCTTCAAAGGCCTGTTTTCACAATCTTGTTGAAAATCAGAAAAGAGAGTACATTCACATACATTCATTTTGTAGTGTGGGAGACCAACAGAGAGAAGGGGTGGGTCTGCAAAGAAGTTGGATGGATTCCCCCCAGGAGAGTCGGTCTCCTGCAGCCAAGCTCTGCAGGGCTTTAGAGATGGTAGCCCAGGCCCTTGGAGCCGACTCAGAAACCTATTGGTAGCTAGGGCCATGGCCCCAGAATGGGCATAATCATTCTCTCATTGCGACTGCTGCATTTTGTACCACTGCAGCTTCCAGGTTGTCTGCGAAGGCGGCTTCAGAGGCAGAGGGTGTTCCAGGTAGCGAAGGTTGTGGTGATGAGGATGCGAGTCAGTCACTGTCCTTGGGGCTTCCTAGTCCATCTGGGGCCACACCTAGCACCTGAGTTGCATTTTTTCTTTTTATAATTATTGTCTCTTTATACTTGGTTAGCTGCTGAGAGTCTTGAAACTGCATCTGCAAAGACCTATGGGAAATAAATAAAATAGCTGCCGTAAAGTGGGCAAAGACTCCTGTTCTAGGAGGAGCTGTTAATCCAGGAGGACACCCAAGGCAGCCACATTTCAAGAGGTGCCTTCAACCAAGGAGAGTGCAATGGCCTCTTGCCCTCAAGTAAGGCAGCATTAACTACCTCCTAAATCAAAGCATCAATTCCCCCTCCATGTTTTTCTAATCCAAGATTGGCAGGGCGGGGGGTCTCCACCATATTCATGGCTAGTGTCTCACTTGTTTGTTTTTTTTCTTTTCTGGATCTTGTTTTTCTGTATGTCCTTCCTTAGTATTCATGCATGGTAGCAAGCATAGGGTGATTTTGACATATTAATTTTGGGAAGCCCTTAAGGAATATCGAATGTTGGCATAATAGATCATTGACTTTTGTTAATATTTCTTCCTCTCCTCCATATTAGCAGGGACAAATGTCTATCTTCCATCTGTCGCTGCAGCTGCCCATGGCAAAAGTACTGCTGGCCCCAGTATGAAAGAAATGAACATTTCCCCCCCACCCTGCCTCTCGTTCACTCAAAACCTTAGAAAGTGTAGCTAAAAAGGGTGTGATCTGCTCAACCCCGTGTTCTCTAATGCTTTCCCCTCCTTGCTTCCACCTGCACATCTTTCTTGCTACAACCACAAATGTGTGGGGAGTGTAATGTTGAACTTTATATTAACAGGCGTCCTGAATCATCAGTATGGCTTGTATCTGACTTGTAATAAAAATAAAAGTTGTAAATGTTATTTCTCCCATACTTGTGAAGCCACGAAAGCTCATTTTCTGTGGTAATACATTCACCAAACCTCTTGCTCTGAAAAAGTGTTTTGTCTAATTCTGTTTGTGCAACAATAGCAAACACACAGCCAAGTGCGCAAAGAATAGATGGCAGCTGATGTCAGGAGGGCTTTTGCACAATACGGTTGTGCCCACTGCTAGATTGGGAAGTCATTCAAAAAAATTATTCATGCCCCAGTGGCATGGGGGGGGCACACCACGATACCCTCATGTGCCACCACTGCTCTGCAACCTGCATTGGTTACCAGTTGGCTTCTGGGCACAATTCAAGATATTAGTTACCACCTATGAAGCCCTTCGCAGCACAGGGCCTGGTTATTCAAGAGGCCGTTTATTTCCTATGGTTTCTGCCGGCCCAGTAGAATTAGGTAGAATGAGCCTGAATGGACCAGGAGGTCCATTCAAATGATCTAATCTTTTGGGACCTAAGAATTCGGCTTTCTCCATTTCCAGACTTGTCCTTTGGTACTGCAGGCCCCCAGAGATCTGGACAACTTTTGCCTGATATCAGGCAAGAAACCTGGCTTTATTCCCAGGCCTGGAATTAAGGGGTCCTATTTGTTTATTTTTATTTCTTTAAAAAATTTACATGGTCACCCATTTTAGGCAATTCTGGGCAGTATGTTACAATAAAACCAATAACAAACAACAGTAAAATCTGCAGAAGATGAGGTTTTGTTATAAAGTAAGTTGAATATGATTCTAGGATGACAGCAAAACGAAATAAAGCAGGGGGTCATCGCTGGAATATTATTTGACCAGGTCTAAATTGAAGAAATTCTGATTTATTCCCTGTGTTATTTGATTAGATTTGACTCTGTGGTGAAAATTGTAATTCTTTTCTCCCGAGCATTCTGAAAATATGTGCACAGTCCCTAGTTAAGTTTAGTGAATTATGTATAATTACATTGTGCCTAACCTTTCTCAAGTCATGGAAATACTTGAACAATTCTTATAATTTTATCTCTAGCCTGCCTTTGTTTTTATCAGCTCCCCAGTCCTTTTAAACTTTTTGAAAAGGAGCCTGGCTCTGTCTAGAGCGATGTCTCTAAACCTTGACAACTTTACGGTGTGCTGTCTTTAGCTCCCAGGAACCTGGCTGGGGAATTCTGGGAGTCAAAGGCCAACGTCTTAAGCCAACGGGAAGGGGAATTCTTGAAGTCCACCCATATTAAAGCTGCCAAGGAGTTTCTCTCCAGTGCAGCTGAAAACAAAAGATCTGGTGCTGCGTTGCCAGTTGGAGAAAATGTACAAGTAATCCTCCACATATGACGGCAATTGAGCCCAAAATTTCCAGTGTAAAGCGAGATGGTTGTAAAGTGAGTTTTGCCCTATTTTATGACCTTTCTTGCCAAAGTTGTTAAGTGAGTCACTGCAGTTGCTAAGTTAGTAACATGGTTGTAAAGTGAACCTGGCTTCTCCATTGACTTTGCTTGTCAGAAGGTCACAAAAGGCGATCACGTGACCCCAGGACACTGCGACCGTCATAAATAAACGCCAGTTAGCAAAAGCCTCCAAATTTTGATTGTGTGACCACAGGGATGTGGCAATGGTTGTAAGTATGAAAACCTGTCATCGGTCACTTTTTTCAGTGCCGTTATAACTTGAGCAATCACTAAACGAATGGTTGTAAGTCAAAGACTGTCTAGAGCAGCGGTCACCAACTGGTGGTCCGTGGACCACTGGTGGTCCACGAGAAAGTTTTGGTGGTCCGCAGAAAAATTATTTGCATTTTTAATATTGCACTAAATCAGGGGTCCTCAAACTACGGCCCCTGGGCCGGATACGTGCAATGAATGCTTGTGTTACTGCAGAGAGTCTCCCCCTTCAGGGTCTTTTTGTGTGGGTCGGAGGGGGTCAGAAATTCTAACTTGGGGTCTGCTTCAGCCTCTTGGAGCTGGGCTTTGGGCGAAGGCTGGAGGGAAGCACCGCTGATGGCTAAGAGCCGAAGGGCCTTGTTCCACTGGGACTGTATCATGGCCTGGAACTGGCTGACCATCTCAGCTTGCTGAGCCTCCGGGCGCCTTGCACTCCCGCAGGTCTTCCCTCTGCTTGGAAAGCCTATGTTCCTAGTCCTCAGTGAGGTGCTTCTGCTGAGCCTCCTTCTCAGTCAGATCCTATTTGAACTGAGCCAGCTGTTTTGCCAACTCTTTCTCGTGGTGGCTGCTTAGCTCCAACAACTGCTTCCTCTTGGGGCCCTAAGGAGCCCAGGCGGGCAGGTGAAGAGTGGCTGGGAGGGGAGGGGTGAATAGAGCCCAGCGAGGCGCCCTTGACGTGAGTGACATCAAGTTGGCCACACCCACCCAGTCGGTCATTAGGCAGATCATATTAGTGGTCCACGGGATTTAAAATTATGAGTTTAGTGTTCCCTGAGGTCCGAAATGTTGGTGACCCCTGATTTATCCGACTTCCATTTCCCACTTCAGACGGGCAGAAGAACCTGTCCCAATGGTGTTTCTTCCAACCATCTCCTGAAAGCAGTTTATTTACAGGGCGGTCCTCATTTAGCCGAGCATTTTAGGGACCAGATCTGAGATAATGCTTAATGAGAGGTAGTTGCAACCAATCCCTGAAGTTCCAGCTGTCGCAGCACCACTGTCTTCGTGATCGTTTGGCAATCAGCCCAGATATCCAACTGTCGCAGCATCTCACAGTGACGTGATCGTGATTAACAGGCATCCCTGCCAGCCTCCCACAAGCATCATCAGGGAGGGAGTCGGAAGTCAGGCAAGGTCTTTGCTTAATGACCTGTACGGTCCTCACTTCACAATGGCAACAGCGACTGCTGGTCATAGGACATCAGTCTTTATGACCACATCACGTAATGCCTGCCCAATTAGTTTCATTTAAGCGAGAGCTACTGGCTGTATTAGATTTATATCCACTTTTCATTTCATCCCTCCCTCTGCTTCTTGAAGAATCCTCCTTGGCTGGGCCAAAAGAGGGTTCTGAGCAGAGCCAGCCCAGCATGTCAGCCCTAACACCTCACTCTCCTTCTTTTGAATAGAACAGTGTTTCTCAACCTTGGCCGCTGGACGATGTGTGGACTTCAACTCCCACTGGAATAGAACATGGGCAAGCCACATCCAGCCATGGTGCATTTTCCCTGGACTTTTCCCCCCACTTAGGTTTATTTACATGGAAACTTCCTTTGTTAAAGCTTCACTTGCACCTGCTACTTAATTGCCGTGTAAAATTCTAAATCTTTAATTGCTTTAAAAATGCATTTAAAACTTTTAGAGTCACTGTTATGCAATAACAGATGCTTTTGTACTCCGTAAACTGTAAACAGCAGGTGAAGGGGAAACGCTTAAGAAAACTTGTCTTTGTGGTTAACTGAAAAATTAACATTGAAAGACACAGACAATTATTTAGACCATTATTGAGATGGCTAATCCAGAATAGGAATCGCTTCTCTTCTGCTATAATTTCTGTGTTCTGTGGGAGAGTTTGGGGTATAGTACTAACACCCAAGCTAATTTTAGAAACCAGCCATAGATTAGTAGGAAACTTGATTCCAGTAGTTTTATAACGTAACTCGTACTATTAAATATCAAGGTAATTTCCATTCCTTATTTACTGAATCAGAGCCCTATTTGGGGGTTTGGAGAGAACACCTCTTGATGCTCCTGCTTACTTTTTGTGATAGCAAAAGGAAAGTTGGGGTATCTTTATCTGCTTCCTGATGGAGAGGTATGAAAGCGTGCCCTAATACCACATTCACATTTAGCTATGGCTCTGCTTTTATTCAATCCAGATTGTGACTTCCAATGAGTTGGTTCCTAAGGTGGTTTGCAGTGAATTATACCCAGACACACCCAGACAGATATGCACCTCAAGCGCACCCTATGTTATCTAGGATCCTTCATTGTTTGGTTGATCAATAAGCATGGAGTAGGTCTGCCTTCAGTTCTGCAGATTACAGGGAGCTCTACTAAGCAAAAGATAGATAAAAATCTGTGCACATTCTGGATGATCGAGTACTGTCACTTTGAGCATGAATGTAAAGAAGGATTTAGTCATATGGAGTAATTGCATATTCCACTTTTGTTATTTGGGTCACTCCTCTGAAGGGTTTCCACATACCAGTGAAAATAAACTTGTCAGCCTTGTATCTCTTCCTGTTGCTTCTTTGGAGCAACCCGGGTTACTTCTCATTAGCATTTGTAGTGCTTTGCTTTCGGAAATAGATGGTGTGGTTTACCCTCCGCTCGCCACACCCTTTGCTTTGCTCATTTATATATTCATTTCTGCTCTGCTCTGCCTCTTTTTGTGCTCCAAGCAGATCAAGGCAACCAATGCCCCCTTTCCTTTTCCTTTTCCAATTGCCCCGTGAATCAAGCCAGGGAAAGAATTGATGCCTGGCCTAATATCTGGTCTCCATTGTTCCTGGAGGTTTTCTTGTAGGCGTTCTGTCATTTCCGTATAAATGGGGCATTTGATTTGTGCCCCTATTTGATTTGTGCCATTATCTTTTTCTTTTTAATTTTCAGGAATGCAAAAGGATAAAAGAATGGATCCACCATCAGGGGCCAGATCAATTGTTGTTCAGGTGGAGGGAATGACATGCAGTTCTTGCGTGCAGACAATTGAGCAGCATATTGGGAAACTAAATGGAGTTCACGTCATTAAAGTAAGTGATTTTGCCTTTATTACAGATCAGAGGCTAGATGGGGCCCAGTAGTGGAGGACTGCTTTCCCACGCAGCTTAGCAGAATAATCTTGACAGGTTTTAGATTCAGGATTCTTAAGAGGGGGCTGGGGGAGGACGTGCAATTCAGAGAGCCTGAATTTGGTTATCTTCCATATAATTGGCAGTAAATCAATCCATGATACTATAGCCAAAGGCAGAAGAAAGAAACTGCAATATTTTAAATTAGATTACATGGGGGCTTCTAGCTTTTGTTTTGCCTATGGCAAATGGAAAATTTGCTGTTAATTCAATGGGCTTTTCAGTAATGTCCATTTGCCCTTTTAGAAATTGAAGCAACAGGATATGTTGAATGTCTGCTGAAAAACAAATCAGATTTTAGGTATTATGAGAAAGTTCCTGATATTAGTAAATCTGTGAGGGGTAAAAGTTCAGAGAAGAAGTTCCTTCTACTTGTTGTAATCTTGGTATCTCAGCAGAATCCTGACTGTTTTGCCAAAGAACTGGGGGCCAAGTTCCTACTTATCTGTGCTGCGTATTTTACAAAAGTAAAGAGGCTGAGAGGAATAGAGGTGCTTGTTCCGCTAGAAGAGGCTCTCAGGAAGAGCATACAAGTTTTAATCCCAGCCAGGCATTCCTCCCAGGAGAGGAAGAGGGAGAGGCTTTTACTATGGCTGGGATGGAGAAAGCACTGGTGTGACAGGAACCTTGAGGTGTTAAATGGAAATTTTTGGTCTGTTGGGATTTATAGCCCAGCAATCCAGCAATTAAAGTCTAAACTTAGCTTGGGAAAGCCTGTATCCTGTTGAACTTCCCTCATGGAACCTAGCCTAGAACTTGTATGTGTGCCTTGGCGTGTGTTATTTCCTTGCAGTATCTATGGCAAAAAAAAAATAACATTTAAGTTTCTAAAATATTCTGAAATTACCAAATGTCGCAAGAGGCAAGAGTTTGGGTGAGAATGCCAACGTGTTCTGAGATTTGTCAAGAGATTGAGGTCCTTTGAACAATGTTTTGATTTTGGTATCCAGACCGCCTGCCACACCATCCTGGTACCCCTGTGGTCTCCAGACTACAGGTTGGGAACTGTGGTTCTCTGCTTAAGATTCAAACCGTCAAAGCCTCTCTTGCTATGGCTTAATGGGAGAAAAGCAGAGTAATAATAAGGCTGTTTTGGGAGGAGTCCTGCAAGAGAAGCTACGCAGGGCTTTGATTAGCCCACTCCCTGGCCCAGTTTCTTTTGCCTTTGGACACTTGGCGTGGGACCCATCCTGAGCTTTCCACCTGAGGGGAATCCTTCACTCAGCTGCCCCAGATTCCAGAATAATAAGTCAAGCTATTTAGGGTAGCTCCTTTAGTTTCTCCTGTGGGCTTGATCATTTCCCTTTTCTGTTTTTGCACGTACAGTATATTTCTGACTTGCCATTCCATCCTGACAGTGTTTAGTTCTTTAATTTTGGTGTGTTTGTAATTTTTTATTAAAATATGAACATACTTAACATTAAACATATCATTAACATACTAACATTAAACTACATGGCAGTTTGTGTCAGGCATGAAAAATCAGGTCCACACATGAAAGTCCAATTAAACTGATGCCCAGGGATATTCTCAACTAAGTTAGCCCCTGTTTGGAGTAGATGAGGGTCAACAGAATTCAAGCGGGGCGGGGGTGGGAGAGTTTGGACTTAATCCATTTGTGGCTACATCGAGATTCCTGGCTATCTCTCTTTAATTCCATCCTCAGATTCTGCCACTCCTTCCCTTAAAATTCACTTTCTTTTTTTGTGTGTGAAATTTCAAAGTCCGTTTTCCTAGTTAAATACCCACCAGTTATATGCTACAGAATACTTTTAAAAATTGAGGAGCGGGGGTTTGCTCTGTTCATCCCAGCCTATAGCCCTATACACAGCCCACCACAAGTCAGTGTAGCATTAACTGTAACGTCATGTTCCACATCAGCCAGCTATTTAACTTTCTGGGCATGACAGTTGAAGATTAGGCTAATCTTTATCTGTCATTACTGTACTGTATATAGATTGTAATGTGTACTTAAGGCGCTGTAGAAAGTTCATGTGAGAAATGTATCCTGTATTATTGTGTGAGAGATTTCTGAAATCGTTTTGCCGCTTTTATTGTGGCTCACCCTGTAGCTAGCCGTCTTGTCTTACAAATAAATCCGAGTTAATTTATGGTTTCATAGGTACTGCCTTACACTTCCTTCTCAGGTGAGTGAAATTGCCATTCAGGGTGTCAGAGTAATAAGCCAAAGCTCCTTGACATGTTAATGCCAGTTTAAGACCATCTTAATCTTGCTTGGCTCAGTTGCCTTTTCTCTTTCTCTGCAAGGTTTCTCTGGATGAGAAGAACGCAACCATTGTTTACAACCCCAAAGAGCAAATCCCAGAGTCACTCCAGGAAGCCATTGAAGACATGGGGTTTGATGCTGTTCTTGGCGATACCAACCCTCAGTCCGTTCCACATGACACCACTTTTCTTACAATTCCCACCCAGGCAACGCTGACCTCCGAACAGATTCGTACCGACCTCCTAAAGATCAAAGGCATTCTGGATGTGAAAATCTCTTCTGATAAAACAACTCTAGTTGTAACCTTTATCTCTTCTATTCTAAATAGCAAACAGATTAATCAAATAGTACCGGGATTAAATTTGGACAATGCAATGCAAGATAAAAATCAAGGAACATGTGAAGATGTAAGTTTAAACCAAATAAATGACGTGGTGCTAAGAATGAAAATAGAAGGGATGACCTGCCATTCCTGTACGAGCACCATTGAAGGAAAAATTGGCAAATTGCAAGGGGTCAAGCGAATTAAAGGTAATTAAAAATAGAGCATTTTGGGAGCTTTTGTCCTTTCATCAATTCTCCAGTATAACCTGAATAGGCAAGTTAACTTCCAAGAGGTACAAAATATGGATGACAATTCTGTTCATGGAGAAATCCACCTGTAGGTCCTTTGTAAAGCCACCATTCAGAAAGCTATAGTATTTCTAAAAGGTAATATCCAACCTTTTGTATTCTCAAACAGAACCTACGCTGAGACCATACAGATTTGAAATAATTTTCCCTCTCATTCTAGTGAGTCACCAGGACTAGCAAGACCAGAGGGGTTGGGGGTTCTTTCAAAACTGGAAGAAGTAGGCAGAGACTCATCCAGCCTTCATGGCATGATGTAACTGCTCCAGATCCTGGCACTTCCACTCCAAAAGCTAAATTCCACCTCTTTGCTCTGTGATTCGTTTCTGTTGCCTGCTGTCACAGCAGTGATATAGTCTGCAAGTTCCTCCAGACTCTTCTAGCTGAACAAAAGGATGCTTTCCAGGTAAAGCTGTGCAAAATGCTCCATGACTGAATAGTCTAACCCCAAAATTGCCTGTGTCACGTACTCTGGAAGTTACCTATTTGAAAGGCCTTTCAGAACACTCACACATACTTCTGGACTGCTTGGAAGTATCCGCATTCAAACTGTTCCAGCTGGCCTTAGGTGGTCCATGCCTAAACTGCAACCAAGCTTTTTCAACCATGTTCAGAATGAAACAGCTGCTGTGCTTTTTTCCAGGCATGGAATGAACAAGGGTAGCAAAAGCCCCAAAGAGATTTATTCTCAACTCTTGCAACTTTAAGATGTGAGGACTTCAACTCCAGAATCCCCAGCTCGCCATTCTGGCTGGGAAATTCTGTGAATTGAAATCCCCCCTCACCCCCGCCTTAAAGGGGCCACGGTTAAGAAGCACTGCCCAAGGATATCAGTGATGGCTATGGAGAGAGAGGAGCCGAGGAGGAGCAGAAAAGGGCTGGCTGGCTGGCTGGTTGGTGGGAGGTGACATGCTGAGAGCTGCTGAGGGGAGGAAAGGGGGGGGGGGGGAGGAACAGGCGTCACTTCATGCTTCTACTCGGAACCACCCACTCCCAGAAAACAGCAGCCTCTGGGCTAGGTTTTGAGTCCCCTGATTTCCAGCTCCTCAAGTTAACTAGAACATTAACCTACAGAAAGGCTTTAAATGGATAAATGTTTTGCGGAATACCAAGAGAAAATCACGCCAACCCTTTCCCATTTATCTTGCAGTTTCCCTGGATAATCAGGAAGCCATGGTCGCTTACCAGCCTCACATCATTACATCAGAAGAAATAAAGAAGCAAATAGAAGCGGCAGGATTCAGCGCCTCCGTAAAGAAAATGCCTAAACCACTCCAGCTCGGTTCTATTGACATAGAGCGGCTCAAAAGCAGCCAAACCAAACACTCGGAAAGGACCCCGCAGGAAAGTTCAGAAGGCAAGCTGGATGGGAAGACCACCACCTTCCGCGTGGATGGCATGCACTGCAATTCATGCGTGTTCAATATTCAGAGCAGCCTCTTGGCACTTCCTTCGGTGACCAGCGTGACGGTGTCTCTGCAAGAGAAGTCAGCCGTCGTCCAGTACAGCCCCAGCCTCATCAGCCTCAGTGCGCTCAGAAGGGCGATTGAAGCCGTCTCCCCGGGGACTTTCAAGGTTTGTGTTTTGGACGCACACGAAAAGGCCGAGCGCCTGGACAACTCCAGATCTCCATCGAAGTCTTCTCTTCCAGCAGCTATTCACAGCATCGGGCCTCATCCCCTGATGCTGGTGACCGTCATCCGCATCGAAGGAATGACTTGCCACTCATGCGTGCAGTCAATTGAGGGGCTGATTTCACAAAAACCCGGTGTGAAGTCAGTCTCTGTGTCGTTGCGGGATCGTAGTGGGACTATTGAATATGACCCAACGCTGACCTCTCCAGCCGATTTAAAAAACTCAATTGAAGACATGGGCTTTGACGCATCCATAGCTGGTAAGTTATTCCTTAGACTCCAGGCAGACTTGAGAGGACAACCATAGCCTTTTGTTTTGGATAAAGATTTCTTGGAGGGGGTGTATTACGTGGGATAATGTGCTAATTTCCTTAACGGGACTGGTTTGGGGGGCGGGTGTTGCAGTGAAAGCACATGAGTTCTGCTTCAGGGCGAGCAATAGACGGAAGGGGTTGGTGGGCGAGCAAGGGGAGAGGCGATGGCTGCTCCCCTCCAATCCTGGGTTTCTAGGCCAATCAGTCCATCCTGAAGCTCATCTAGCCAATGGCAGAATCATTCCAGGAAGGATTGGTGCCTACTGTAAATACATGAGTGCTTTGCTTTTTACTTTTTTTGTTTTGTTTTGTGGAGAATGGGGGACTCCAGATTGTTTTCACAACTTTTGTAACGATCCCCCTGCGGGAGTAATCCTGCACTGCTAGAGAAGGTCCTACAGCATAGTGTTGCACTGACTGCGCCCAATTCATGTAACCGGCATTTTCCTTAAAACAGTTTTAAAGATCAACCTTACATATTACAATTTCTGAGCATCAAGTGGCTGTTTCTTTTCCTTTTGAGCAGCCAATTTGTTATCTTAGTCCACTGTAGGGAAATCACTCTTGGTGCTGTTAAGGGAGGCCGGATGGGAAAGGTGCAGGGTCAGGCAGAGTAGATTAATAGATACCACTTTGGTGGGAAGATAACAGCGTTCTGGGAGTCTTGGCGTACAGCCATCCTGGCCACATGACCACAGAAATGTTGTCTTCGGACAGCGTTGGCTCCCTCAGCCGAGAAATGGAGATGAGTACCGAGCCCTAGAGTCAGACACGACTGACAGGAAAACATTTACCTGTACTGTATTGCAAGGGGCACGATGGCTCAGTGGTCAAAGATACTGAGGTTGTCAGCTGGAAAACTGACAGCCCAGGTTCGAGACCCGAGCTCTGCACGATGGAATGAGCTCCCATTACTTGCCCCAGCTCCTGCCCACCTAGCAGTTTGAAAGCATGCAAATGCGAGTAGATTAATAGGTACCACTTTGGTGGGAAGGTAACAGCGTTCCAAGTGCCTTGGCTTATAGTCATGCTGGCCACATGACCGTGGCAATATTTTTGGACAATGCTGGCTCCCTGGGCTAGGAAATGGAGGTGAGCACCACTGCTAGAGTTGGACACGACTGGACAAGGGAAACCTTTATCTACAGTATTAGTTTTACTTTTTAATAAAGAGAAAAATTCCTTACAAACTAAAGGCAGGTGGGGCAGGGAGATTAAGCACCCAGAAAGATCAGCATATCTACTGCTGTCATGAGAAAGCAGATGGTGGAAGAGCTGGAACGTTGTTTTCTGATGATATTTTTCTGCTGCCAGTGCCACCAAGCCCAGAGCCCGTGGTGCTAATCACTCAGCCTTCCCAGGAGAGGCTGGCTAGAACGCAAGACAGCAAGCTGCCCAAAACAGTCGCTCTTCCCAACCTGTCGCCAGTTCCGAACAGATCGGGTTTGAAGGCACCATCCAAATGCTACATTCAGATCACTGGCATGACCTGCGCTTCCTGCGTGGCAAACATTGAGAGGAACCTGAAGAGAGAAGATGGTAAGAAACCCTCCCGTAAGGCTGATTAACGTTTGCGGTCACAGAATTTATGACTGATGTTGACCAGATCTCAGGTAAAGGCAGAAGGAGAGCTATTCTGATTTGAGCGCCTGCTCAAGGATGAGGCAGGGGCCCATGTGGTTCAAGGAGAGGGAGTGTCATCGCCCCCCCCCCCCCCCGATTCAGGTTTTGACATTTGGTCTTTGGGTGGTGGATCTTACCTGAGTAGCCTCACAACACCTCTGGACCTGGGCCATGAGATGTCCTAAGAAAATCAGTCAGTTTTACACTGATGAAAATAGCAGTATGATGTGTTTATTCAGGACACTTGATTGTACAGCATACCGATTATGTTTTCGCCTAAATGTTGTTAAGTATGATTCCCTCTTTCTAGGAATATGCTCTGTGCTCGTTGCCCTGATGGCTGGGAAGGCTGAAGTGAGATACGACCCTTCCGTCATCCAGCCCCCAACGGTAGCCGAGAGGATTAGAGAACTGGGGTTTGGTGCTCTGGTGCTGGAGGATTATGATGAAGGAGATGGCATCTTGGAACTGGTTGTAAGCAGATTGTTTCATTATCAACATTTATGCATCTGGCAGTTTTTTTATACCACGTATGAAAAGGATGGAAGCCCTTGGGTAACTGCAGTGTATCAGGCCTTCTGAAAAATGTGGAACTCCTGCTGTTGTTACTAAGAGACCACATTGAGGTGGCAGAACAAGCCCTCCAACTCCACCTTCACTTCTTGCTCCTCATGTTTAGGAGGACATGTCCTTGAATATAGTGATCATTCCCCTTAAAATTATAACTAAAAACCATTTCATTTTGCTGTCATATCTATTTTTGCCCGTGTACCAAAAAGTTTGAGAATGTTTCTGTTGCTGTTTCCAAGTTTCTTGTTTTAGTGGGATTCGCCCCCCCCCTTTCCTCAAACAGAAGTGTGCTTCTGTATATTTTCATTTGTTTGCTTTTTTCTCAGTGTCCGTATCAGTTTTTCCCCCGTTGGTCAGGAAGGCAAAGAGTGCACACTTCGCAGGATAGGGCTGTATGCAGGCTGGGAAACACAACTGCTAACTGACAGAATGGGTGGATGTTGAAATACGGAGCAAACAGCAGATTTTCCCAACTCCCCTAGAGTTTTGCTCTTTGATGGACAGTTAAAAACCTTAATCATATCTATTTATCTATCTGTGCCTAGTTTCCATTCTGCAGGAGTAGAAGGAATGGTTTGTTTGTTTGTTTCCCGCCTTTATTATTTTACAAACAATTCAAGGCAGCGAACATATCCCACATACTTTCCTCCTCCTATTGTCCTCGCAACAACCACCCTGGGAAGTGAATTAGACTGAGAGAGTGTGGCTGGCCCAAGTCACCCAAATGTCTTTCATGGCTAAGGCAGGACTAGAACCCACAGTCTCCTGGTTCCTAACCTGGTGCCTAAACTGCTAAACCAGGGGTCAGCAACCTGTGGCTCTGGAGCCGCATGTGGCTCTTTCATCCCTCTGGTGTGGCTTCCTGGCGCCGGTCGGCTCCACAATTGAAAGGGCTTTCGGTTAGGACAAGTAGAGGAAAAAGGATGCCGCACTAGGAGGAGACTCTATGGTGGGGGAACCAGACTTCCGGTCGGCTCCAGAATTGAATGGTGGGCTTCTGGTTAGGACCTCTGTGGCTCCTTGAGTGTTTAAGGTTGCCGACCCCTGTGCTAAACCAACTGGCTCTATTTACCCGTTTGAACAATTACAGAAGCATAACAAAAGCAATGATAAGCTAGCACAAATCTTGAGCTAGGATTAGAGGTTTATTTAGGGGATTCGACCACCTTTCATCGTGTTATGCAGGCAGAATTATTCTTTAAGAAACAATATTCTGCAAACAAAGTTTTTTTTCCCCCTCACAGGTAAGAGGGATGACTTGTGCCTCGTGTGTTCATAAAATAGAATCTACCCTTATGAAAACAAAAGGGGTTTTGTACAGCTCAGTGGCTCTTGCAACCAACAAAGCCCACGTTAAGTATGATCTGGAGATCATTGGCCCTCGAGATATTATACAGATTATACAGGTAAGGTTTTTTGCCAATATGGTTTCTCTTTTTGTTAGCTTGCTATTTCATTTTATTTCATTTTATTTCATTTTGTTTTTTAGATTATTTTTTCCATAAAAATCATTGTAACTAAGTAGAGGAAACTCTGTGAAAGAAGAGGCTGAATATGGAAGCTGGTTTGAAGTTGGCATTTTCTGATCCCATTATGTAGATATAACAAAATGCTAGGTTTAAGACTGAAACTTAGATTCTCTCAGTTTAGTTTATGCTCTTATTCTCCCACCCCCACCCTTATATTTTCTTATTTCTTATTTGTTTGTTTAGGCTCTAAGCTGTTGCCAGTGTTCTGTTGTAGAAAGTTATCACCCTCTCCTAGAAGAATGAAATATTTTGAGGAATATTTTAAAAAGGCAATTATTACATTTCCCAAAGGGAGAAATGGAGAAACGTGGTTTTTTAGAGGCAGAAAGCAACCCCCACTTTCCTTAATAGCTCACAGCTGATCTCAGTACTTAAGAGATAAAGAGCTTATTGAAAACTAGATAGCTCTATTCATAGGCAAAGCAAATACTGCAGGCAGAAATCCATTCAAGACAGAATATTTTGAAACTCCCTGCAGCAAAGCCTGAATGATAGGATTAGCCCTCACTCAAGATCCAAAACAGGACAACAGCCATTAAGCCACAATAGGAGTTGTCCAACCCCAACACCCTTTCGGAGCACAAGCCCCTTCATTGCATCATCTCAGAGCAGTCCAAACTTCAACCAAAACTTGGGAGCTCAGACACAAACACCACCTAGGATTTGTGTTTCCGCTTTGCCTATAGAGCCAGCTATGACCCCTACATGACCCCATAGGAATCTGGCAGCAGCCAGTAGAATACATGTTCTTGCACAGTGCAAAGCTCAAAGAAGGTATAACCCCCCCCCCCCTCCTCAACTCCCTGTGGTCAACTGCCCAGAACCACAAACCCATCTGGTTCTGCTTCACCAATAAACCATCTTTCCAATCAGCCTCCGTGTTTTCAGTGTCTTTCTCCCACCTTGGAACTAAACCAGAGGGATATTTCTTCCCAAGCTATCGTCGTTAATTTATATCCTTCATTCTAAAGTGACTTGTTTTTGGGCAATGGTGGTTGTTAAATAATATACAGAAATGTCTAAACTTGTAAAACAATTCTGGCAAAGAGTCGGTTTCCCTTTGCTGGTAGTATATGTTACTGATTTTTAGCTATGATCTGTGTGGAAATGTACATATTCACATTATGTCTCTTTCCAGAATCTAGGATTTAACGCTACATTGGTAAAGAAAGACCGATCTGCTAGCCACTTAGACCACAAGCAGGAAATAAGGCAGTAAGTCCTTTTTTGTGTTTATTTGTAGCTTTGCACATGTTTCCTGGAACATGGTTCCCCCCCCCCAAATAACTATATACTGTCTTTGAAGTTGTACCTAACTTCTTAAGTTATGATGGTTTATTCAATATTACCTTGTCCGCTTATTACTTAGGTGGAAACGGTCCTTCCTTGTAAGCCTCATTTTCTGCATCCCTGTAATGGGGCTCATGATTTACATGATGGTGATGGACAGCCACATGTCGGCCATGTACAAGGCTTCTAACTTGACTCAAGAAGAAATAGAAGCACACCACCCATCAATGTTTCTGGAGCAGCAGATTCTTCCTGGGCTGTCAATTATGAATTTGCTCTCCTTTTTATTGTGTATTCCTGTTCAGGCAAGTAGAAAGAGATGGCAGTCCTCATGTCATGCCCCAACTCCTTTTAGGGTTAGGGTTAAGGATTAATTGCAGTCCTTAATCTTGAAACACTGACAAAGTCTCTTTGGGAGAGGAAAATTCAGATTACTCTTTAGTGCTTAGGTAGAGCATGTGATTGTGTGGATTGTCACCGGAAAGTGCCAAGTGTCCAATAGGCATTGTCCTTTAAAGTTAACATTTGACTCTACTCTTTCATTGCTCCCTCCAAAAGACTAACCTAGAGGCAAACTTCATTTGTTAAAATAGTTTTCCTTTTCTATTCTTTTGGGAAAAAAGTTAAGAGTAATGTTTTTATCTTGACATTTCGAGCATCTCTGTCTACGTTTTTGTTACTGTCAGAATCATTTTCCCTTGACATACAGTGGGAGATTTTGCTTCCTGGTGAAAAACCTCTAGCACCACTAAACAAAATGCCACAATTGTTCTGAATTTTCTTCTGAAACCGAACATTTGTTGGGGGGCAGGTAAAGGAAAGGATGGAAGAAGCAAGGAGAAGATGGAAAATAAGGGTGGCTCTGTTAAATTTTGCCAGTGAGGCAGAGCAGCCGCACAAGAAGAGGTTCCCCTAGAACTCCCTAGTTGCTCTGTCGTGTGGCTCTCGGGAACCTGCTGCCTGCCTGCCAAGTCCAGGGTAGATGGGAGGTGTCTTCTTGAGATGCCCATGCCAAGAGGGAAGCACCTGGGCATTTTCTCCCGAAATTTAGCAATGAGTGAGCAGTTTTGCTCCCTGTTACCTTTGTTTCAGTGTAAATGTGCTACTGACATTTGCTCTTCTTACAGTTCTTCGGAGGCTGGCACTTCTACATTCAAGCCTACAAAGCACTGAAGCATAAAACAGCCAATATGGACGTGCTGATTGTTCTGGCCACGACCATCGCCTTCGTCTACTCCTTTGTAGTTCTTCTGGTTGCAATGGCCGAGCAGGCAGTGGCCAATCCTGTGACTTTCTTTGACACACCTCCAATGCTCTTTGTCTTCATTGCGTTGGGGCGCTGGTTGGAGCACGTGGCTAAGGTCAGGGCAAAAGAGCTTTTCCTCTGGTTCAGGTGGTGGTGGAGAGAAACAATGCTTTCAAATTACCTGCCATGTTCGGTGCTTACCTGTGCTTTCGGTATTATTAAAATTTGGGTGTTATTACAAACATGTGTTTCAATTGAAGGGAATATATGTAACAATAATATAGTATTACACACACACACACACACAAAATACTAAAACTCACAAAGCTGGCTGCCTCCCTCTCCTGCACCCTTTCTGCCTTGAAGAAGGCCTGGAAGGAGCTCAGTGGCTTTTGTGTGCATTCAAATGACTCCCAATTGGGCTTCCATCAAGCAGGAAGTGAAGGAAAACAAGGGAGGTGAAGGATCAGGCCATCTCCCTGGGTGCCACCTTCTAGGAACTTCAGCCCTCAAATTTGCTCAAGCTGGAGGCCTGCAGCTTAATGAAAGTTTTTTTTTTATCTACTAGTGACTGGCATTAAAGGTACAGGTAAAGGTTCCCCTCGCACATGTGTGCTAGTCATTCCCAACTCCAGGGGGCGGTGCTCATTTCCATTTCAAAGCCGAAGAACCAGCGCTGTCTGAAGATGTCTCCGTGGTCATGTGGCTGGCATGACTCAACGCCAAAGGCGCACGGAACGCTGTTCCCTTCCCACCAAAGGTGGTTCCTATTTTTCTACTTGCATTTTTTACGTGCTTTCGAACTGCTAGGTTGGCAGAGGCTGGGACAAGTAACAGAAGCTCAGCCCGTTATGCGGCAGTAGGGATTCAAACCGCCGAACTGCGGACTTTTCAATCGACAAGCTCAGCGTCTTATTTCAAACAAATGTCACACTCCTAAAAACAAATGCTGATGAAAGGAGAGATTATGCTTTCCGTGGAACTTAGATTTTCTCTTTCCTTGCTAGTTTGTGAGGAAACTCTTGTGGTTAAAGACTTTATGCTTAACCTATGATTTTGATGCTTGCAATGCATTTCTATGGTGCTTTGAACGTAAAACACTTTTTAATCTTTTTTAGGGTAAAACATCGGAGGCCCTTGCGAAGCTAATTTCACTACAAGCAACAGAAGCAACTATTGTTACTTTGGGTGCAGATAATATCCTCATGAGGTATTTCCAGTTCTGTGGTGGCTTTTTAATGAAATATTTATATGCTGCAGTGCTTCATCCCCTGTAATTTCCTTGTAGTCTTTACATTTGTATTGCACCACTGCAGGTAACATTCTGCCTATGCTGTTCAGTGTAAATTATAAATATTTGTAAATGAGAGAAGAGTAGCAACCTGACTTGAATTTCATATAAACTCCCCAAAACATAATTTCAGCTGGGGATTTCTTTACATTACTCTAGCCTCCTGCAGATGAAGAAGACTTTGGACAGGAATTTAAAAGAAAAGGGAGTTCTGTTGTGCAGGATTTAACAACCTGAACTGCTACATAACTTCCATCGCTGAGTCTTGACTCTTCTGATTTCTCTGCAGCGAAGAGCAAGTGGATGTTGAGCTAGTTCAGCGGGGTGACATCGTGAAGGTGGTCCCAGGCGGCAAGTTTCCCGTGGATGGCCGAGTGGTTGAAGGACACTCGATGGTAGACGAATCACTTATCACAGGCAAGCCGGAATGGGTTTTCATGGGCCCTAGACCTCCGGGCTGGGGAGAGGGAATTTTTTTTTTTTTTTTAAATTTGATTTATATGCCGCCCTTCTCCGGAGACTCAGGGCGGCTTACAATGTGCTCAGCAATAGCCTTCATACTTTTGTATATTTATACAAAGTCAGCTTATTGCCCCCACAACTGGGTCCTCATTTCACCTACCTTTGAAAGGATGGAAGGCTGAGTCAACCTTGAGCCTTGGAGAGATTCGAACCAGCAGAAATTGCAGGCAGCTGTGTTAATAACAGGGTGCACTAAACCACTGTACTACCAAGGCTCTTGTCAAATTGTCAAAGAGCGGCCTCTATTTTGTTTTGTTTCTGATCTATATAGGTGAAGCAATGCCGGTGATGAAAAAACCTGGAAGTTCAGTCATAGCAGGTTCGATTAATCAGAATGGATCCCTGTTGATCTCGGCAACCCATGTTGGGTCTGACACTACCCTCTGCCAGATCGTAAAGCTTGTGGAAGAAGCTCAGACATCAAAGGTATTTAGACGAACACCTTTAGGTTTCTCTCCTGTCTGACGGCCGTGATTCTAGACAGCAAGTGGGTAGCTTAAAGTTATTTGCAGTATATGGCTATGGAACATGCCAAACTGGTCTATGCAGTGAGATTTCAGCAAAATTCTGTGTCTCTCTCTTTTTTTTTTTTTTTTTTTTGGCCCTGCCAATAATTATAGCATCAGCAAAGTATGAGTTAAATACCCTTTCTCACTAAAAATCATGTATGTTATTTATTACAAATCTGCAGGCTAAAACCCAAACCAGCTCAGCCTCAAAAAAGACTTCTAGAATTAATGTTGCTTCTTTTTCTCTCTTTCCCTTGCTTTAGGCACCAATTCAGCAGTTCGCTGACAAACTGAGTGGCTATTTTGTTCCTTTCATTGTTGGTGTTTCTGTGATTACACTTCTTGCTTGGATTGTGATTGGCTTTGTCAATTTTCAAGTGGTAGAAACCTATTTTCTTGTAAGTTTCTTTCCTTTTGTTTTTAATTTTTGTAAAGCAATGGCCTGCAAAATCTAATTAACCAAAAGATTTCCTTTTTTGCTATTGTTCATATTCTCTATATTATGTATGATAGATTAATTTGAATTTAAATAGCAAAAAAAAAGGAAATACGATTCAGATGCTTAGTTCATAGAGTGGTGTTTTTAAAATGTTGCTTTGCCTGCATTACTTACATTTACATTTTTGCTGATTTTTGCCCAATATTTAAATGCGATTTATGATTATCTTCTAAATGCTAATAATCGCTAATAAAGATCCCTGAAGATGTGGCTGGAAAACACCACGCTTAAAATGAGTCAAGAAGAAAATGATCTGTGCTTGCACAAAGGAACTCTTATTTTATAGGTCTCAGAGCGGGAAAGGGCCCTTTTGACCATCAGTTGATCACCTGCTTAATGAAGAATAAATTGTATACAGAGGCAATGCAAACTCACACTTTCTGTGATATATTTTAATGCTGGATCACAATGTTTAGTTGTATTCATGGTGATTATTGATATGCTTACTATTGTACCTTCCTTTATGCAGCCTTTGGAAGTTGCAGCAGGAGGTTGAAATGTATTCTTTGAATGTTTCTCTTTGCTGACATTCGGTGTCTGACTCCAGTCTGATAATTTAGTGGCCACATTGGTCCTCATAGGCCTTTGCTGTAGGGGAGGTAGCAGAGTCCTGAAAGTCTTATCAGAATTTTCCTCTGCCACATCTTCTACTGGACAAAATCAAGGCAGAGTTATTTTGAGTTTGTTTCCCACATTTTCCTCTTTCTGTGTTGCTGTTACTTCTCCCTTTACTGTTTCATAACCTTCTACCCCCTCCCCATGACAAGAACTGCATTCTTTCACACATACACAGATGATATGTAAAATCAAGACATTAGATTCACACTTCACACAAATGTGTGGTCAATTGAATAAATTACAGTTGTCTGGGTTAATGCAAAATGCTAAACTATACACCCTATTTTATATGCCACAACTGATGAGTTCCCATATTATATTACTTTGAAGCCAAAGAAACCACATTTAAGGCAGCACGTGACCTCATCAAACTGTGACTTTCTTTAAAATAAGTGCCCATCCAGTCGTCTCTCTGTGTGCCAACAGGGCTATAATAAGAGCATTTCCAAAGCAGAGGTCGTGATCCGCTTTGCTTTTCAAGCCTCCATCACCGTGCTGTGTATTGCCTGCCCTTGTTCCTTGGGATTAGCAACTCCAACTGCTGTGATGGTGGGAACTGGCGTAGGAGCCCAAAATGGCATCTTGATCAAAGGCGGAGAACCGCTGGAGATGGCACACAAGGTGAGAAAATGGAATGTCCTTTTTGGTTGAGTGGCAGAGGCAAAAAGATCTCACCTCTTACCTTTGTCCAAGAATGTTATGAATCCTCCCCACAGACTATTTGCTGCTGTTTACAACTCTAAAGTTCTGTGGATATTCTGTGGGTGTTTTGCAGGTAAAAGTTGTGATGTTTGATAAAACAGGAACCATCACCCATGGAACTCCAGTGGTGATGCAGATGAAGATGCTAGTGGAGAGTAACCGGATACCACGCAAGAAAGTCTTGGCCCTGGTGGGAACAGCGGAGAGCCACAGTGAGCACCCTTTAGGAGCAGCAATCACAAAATACTGCAAACAGGTAGAAGAGCAGATCGTAGAACGTAGAATCCTAGGGCTGGAAGGGAACTCGGGGGGTCTTCTGGGCCAACCCCCTGCTTAAGGCAGGCGACCTGATACCATCTCGGTCAAATGGTTGCCCAGTCTGTTTTTGAAAACCTCCAGTGATGGAACCTTCACAACTCTGGGAGTCAAGTCTTCTATTCATTCATTGTTCTCACTGTCAGAAAATTTTTCCTTAGTTCTAGGTTGAATCTCTCTTTAATGGATTTCCACCCATTCCTTCTTGTCCTGCCCTCCGGTCCTTTGGAGAACAGGTCACCCCCTTCGTCTCTGTCAGAAGCCCCTCAAGTCCTGAAAGACAGTTATCACGTCCCATCTAATCCTTCTCTTTGCCGCTAGAGATACCTACCTAGGTCCTCAAGCATTTGTCATATGATTTAGCCTTCAGATCCTTTATCTCTTTTGTTGGGTCTGTTTCTTTTGAAAATTGATTATTTATTTATAAGAAATTTTCCATGGCCACCCAACTCACTTTCAGCGACATGGGTAGCGTACAGAGATAAAAGCCCAATATAAAAAACAATAAAAAGCAATCCTCCCCCCCCCCAAAAAAATCTGACAACAATAATCAGTCAATCAAACAAACCCCTTGATGGGCTCCATCCCACTCTGGGTTCCTCAAGCCCATTGGCAAAATCAGGGCTTCAAAAGAGTGTCAAAGTTGGGAGCAGTCTAATTTCTTCAGGGATGAGAGTCATGGCCCCATCGGAGCCCAGTTCAGAGGAGAAGGAGGGGCAGTTGGAACTAAGAGGCATCTGCCGGGGATGGCTCGAATCCCTTGGCATATCTAGAGAGGCCGGGGAGTGAGGATGATGCTGTCCCAGGCCCCTTAGGCATTGGGGGAGGTGGTCGATTGAATGGAGAGCTACCTGCCCTCAAAGACACGGGAGGATCGGTTGCTGACTGGCAGTGCTGCTGAGAGGCAGCAGATCCCCTCTGAGGAGGAACAGCTGCCTCCCCCGGCACAGAGAGCAGAGCGTAGGCAAGCCCAGAGAAGGGCTGCAAGACTGCTGGGAAGGAGGTCGCCCCAACCCTTCTCATAAGGAGGGACTTAAGGAGAAGCCGTGGAGAGTTAGTCTTGGCCAGGCACAATTGTTTGTTTTGGCTTACACTAATTCTTCATAACCCTTTGATACGGATTTCAGGCCCTTACTGGTATCTCTCTTCCCAACATGGAAGATGAGAAAGGGATAATAATCAGTGGGGTTGATGAATTGCGTAAGCCTTTCTGTTACATATTTGCACCCGGGAGGCAACCTTGATATAGATTGTCCGGTCTACAGATTGCTGATTCTCTTCCTCTGAGAAGTGAGTCACCAATCAGCCCCACGTTCTTTTTTCTCTTTGGGGAACTCAGTGGACTCTTCCTCCTTCTGACCGTCTGAGCCACTTTTCTTCCTATTACGGAGCACTTGATGAAGAGCTGACTGCAGCTGTCTGTGTCTTTTCTTCCAGGGGAGGATATGAAGTGGCGCGGACAGTCTTCTTGAGGTTTTTTTTGTTTTTGTTTTTTTTTTGTCCTCTGAGTGACATGATGCCATTGGTCTTCCTTTAGGGTTTCATTTTTCCTTGTAGTTGTTTCTTCTTTGCTGCATTTAGTTTGAATACAGAGTTTCCGAATAATTCCTCAATCTCACAGATGAAAGTAAGAGTGGCTAGACATGCCTTTTAAATCGGTGGTCCCCAAACTTTGTGGCTTGGCAGTCTGGCTGGGGGGGTGGTGGTAGAGAGGAGAACTGGGCCACACGAGCAACGGGCTGGCGTGCATGGCGTACGACTGGCGTACCAGTCTGCACTCACACAAGTTGAGCTGTGCGCGCTCCAGCCAGCCATTTGCATGGCCTAATTCGGCCTGGGGGTTGGGGACCCTTTCTCTAAACCTTCCACTATCTCCTTTAGCAATCCAACGAGTTTGCTACTAAAGTATTCAGATACTTGGGGCATATAATTCAAAATTGCCTGCAGATGTCCCTCTTGGAGGTCTTCATTCCTCATGTCCTCCAGATTTGGGAAGACTTATTATTGCTTCAAGCACCCCTATATTTTATTCCCACATCTTACATTGGAGCCGTGGTGGTGCAGTGGTTAGAATGCAGTATTGCGGGCTAATTCTGCTGACTGCCAACTGTCGGCAGTTCGAGCCTCACCAGCTCAAGGTTGACTCAGCCTTCCATCCTTCTGAGGTGGGTAAAATGAGGGCCCAGATTGTGGGGGGCAAGAGGCTGACTCTGTAAACCACCTAGAGAAGGCTGTAAAGCCCTGTGAAGCGGTATATAAGTCTTAAGTGCTATTGCTAGTGCTATGGGGATCTGGATGTGGAACTCTTGTTTCAGATGATGGTCCTGGTTTTGCCCAGGTGAGCTTATTGTTATGTGGCCCTTTCGTTTCTCTAGGAATTGGATGCAGATATCCTTGGGACGTGCACTGATTTCCAGGTGGTGCCCGGCTGTGGTATTAGCTGTAAAGTTACCAATATTGAAGCCTTACTTCGCAGCAAGAGTGAAACTGTGGAAGAGACCAATGTCAGGAACGCTGCCCTAGTGAGCATGGAGGAGAAGGCTGAGCCCCTCATGCAGCCAGCTTTGATCATCAATGAGCAGGTGCCAGGTGAGTCCACGTGTGACATGCGTGTCTGGTAAATGGGAGCTTGTGTTCCTGGCAAGGATTTGGCTTCTGGAGAGAGGAAGGGGCCCCAAAACCAACAAGTTCCGTTTTCTGGATTGGCCTTGTAAGACAGCTGTGTGGTAACGCTTCCTCATTCATTCTGTGTTAATTCACAGCCAAACCCAACCATGTGAATAAAATGTTCCTTTGTTGCCCCAACTGGAAGCTGCCTAGTGGGCAGGGATTTATACTGCTTCAGAGATTCTGCTTTCCAGTTGGCACACGGACAGTACATTACGATGCCCATGAAATAGCCTGCCTTATGTAATTGGAGTACAAGAGTTGAAGGGATCCTTTTGTGTGTGTGTGTGGGTGGGGGTGTTTGACAGTCCAATTTGAAGACCCAGAAAGCAAAGGACAGTTGGGCAGGATTATCTTGTAGCTTTCCCTGGGCTTTACTGACTCACATGTTGTGAGAATGGGATTTGCTTTGGGCTTTATTTTCCAATTCTCATGTAGAAAAAGATTACTCCTAGGCAGAACTGAAAGTAAGGTGTGTTCAGCCCTGTGGCAAAGGGGAGAAATGCACAATCCCCAGGCCCACGGGGGCTCTTTTTTCGAATTTTAAATGATGATCCAGGCCAGGGGTCACCAACCTTTCGGACCTCAGGGACCACTAAATTCATAATTTTAAATCCCGCAGACCACTAATATGATCTGCCTAATGACCGGCTGGGTGGGCATGGCCAGGTGGTCATGTGACTGGGTGGATGTGGCTAATTCAGTGTCACTCATGTTGAGGGGCACCTCGCCAGCCTCTACTCACCCCTCTCCTGCCAGCCACTCCTTGCCTCCCCACCAGGGCTCCTTAGGGCCCCAACTGGAAGCAGTTGCTGGAGCTAAGCAGCCACCATGAGAAAGAGTTGGCAAAACAGTTGTCTCAGTTCAAATTGGATCCAGCCAAGAAGGAGGCTCAGCAGAAGCACCTCACTGAGGACTAGGAGCATAGGCTTTCCAAGCAGAGGGAAGACCTGTGGGAGTGCAAGGCCAGGTACTGGTGCCTGGAGGCTCAGCGGGCTGAGATGGTCAGCCAGTTCCAGGCCATGATGCACTCCCAGTGGAACGAGGCCCTCCGGCTCTTTGCCACCAGCGGTGCTTCCCTCCAGCCTTCGCCCAAAGCCCAGCACCAGGAGGCCAAAGCAGACCCCCAAGTCGGAATTTCTGCCCCCCCCCTCCGACCCACACAAAAAGACCCTGAAGGGGGAGACCCTCTGCAGCAACACAAGCATTCATTGCAGGCATCCGGCCCAGGGGCCGTAGTTTGAGGACCCCTGATTTAGTGCAATATTAAAAATGCAAATAATTTTTCTGCGGACCACCAAAATTTTCTCGTGGACCCCCAGTTGGTGACTGCTGATCCAGGCTATTGTCTTCCTTACCACCTTTCTAAGACTAGTTTATTCTGTGACTGTTGAAGCAGATGCGGTTGGCTTTGCACAGTGGGATGTTCAGTAGCTTCCAGGGGCTTTCCTTTCATTCTGCAGATGGGAGGGGCGGCTGCTTTTTCTGGAAGACAGGGAAGTTCACATACATGGAAACGTAATTAGGCATAAGATGGCATCAGTCCAACCAGAGACACGTTGATTTTTGTTTTTATTCACTGGCTCTAAGCATATTTATGGACAATCATGTGCTCAGATAGTTCTGGTCTCATTCATTCCTTAGCGAGAAAGGAATAAAGATTCTTAAAAACTTTCCATTCGTGAGCAGGGCCGTTTATTATTTAATAAATATCAGTAGGAGTTTGGTAGCATCTTTTCCAATTAACATATTATTTAAAAAGCAGAAACTTTTGTGAGCTGCAGCTTCCTTGATTAGATAGAATAATTAGACTGATGTACGGGTTAAATGATGATGAGATAGGGAGTAGAAAGGAAGAAAATGGTTCAGTGATGAAGATTCAGGATGCATGTGAGACTTTATCAATTAACTATTGTATAAAGAGATTTCCTAAGATAGCGCAGTGTACATGAGTTCAGCAACCTCTCCCTCAATTATTAATGCTTCTTCCCCCCCCCCCCCAATAATGGGATCTTTGAGCTCTGCTATGGGGTGTCCTGAGAGATTGAAATGCCCCGATGCTACTTTGTCCTTGTTTTGAAACCTTGTTTTGATGACTATTATTCCTTTTGTGCATCTGTTGTGAGGTATACCTTATGAACATCAGTAGTACCTGTGAGACAGATCTAGGGGTCCTCATGGTCCACCCCTGTATGGGAGCCGGCGGTGTGCTACAGTTTTCCAAAAGAGCCAATGCAGTCTTAGATTGCATTAACAGAAGGGCAGCATCAAGATCACAAGAAGTGAGAGTACTTCTGCATACTGTGCTAGTAAGGCTACACCTGGCACATTGCAGCCAGTTCTGGCCACCACAATGCAAAAAAGATTCTGAGACCCGAGAAAGAGTGCAGAGAAGAGCAACAAAGAGGATTAGGGGCCTGGAGGCTACACTGTACCATGGGTAGCTAAGGGGACTAGGTATGTTTTGCCTGATGATTTATCCTCCAAAGCATCTGAGGATACAACAAAAAGCTGCGGTGGAAGCTACTCAGAGAGGGTTCCAACCTGGAACTGAGGGGAATCTCCCTAACAGGGAGGACCGCTAGTCAATGGAACCGATTGCCTTCCAGGCTTGTAGGAGCGCCAATATTGGACAACCATTAGTCCAGGATGGAAAAAGGACTGATTCTAAATCCCATATCTTTGAATAACGTTCATTAGCCTGAAAGGGTGCAACATACTTCAGATTTTTGGCTGCCCTTCACGAACACTGTTCTTAGTGTTAAATTGATCCTCTTTTTTTGGATAATGGAAGTTTTCCTTTCAGACACATGGACGTCGCACAAATATTCTGTCCTCATTGGAAACCGAGAGTGGATGTCTAGGAACGGCCTTCTTCTCAGAAGTGATATTGACGAAGCCATGACGGAGCACGAACGCCGAGGCCGCACAGCAGTTCTTACAGCTGTGGATGGTAAGTTTGAGGATCGGGATATTCAGTATTTTAGTTGGAAAAGGCCGAAAGGACATGTAACCGGATGTGTTGAAACAGTTGGGCAGGATAGAAATGTTCATTGATTTTATTGACAAAATTATTATTGCCAGAGATGCACCTCATAACAATTCTAAATAATGAATAAAACTCCAGAGAATTTCTGAATGTCTATTTAGGTGTGTTTATTGCATTTACAATAAACATAAATGCACAATCATTTGGCAGTCTAAACTTAGTTAACCATTGTCATTGACTATTTCTCTCTTAATTACTGCAAATATATATACTATCCAATAGTCTTGCCTTCAAATATTCAACAAAGTTGTTTCAATACCAGATGGTCAGCAAATAAATTTAATAAATAAATAAGTAAATTTATTCTTACTAAACTCTTTTAGAAATAATAAAATATTCTGTTTGTTTCATTGGAATTTCAATGAAATTCAATTTCATATGTTGGCCTAAATTGAATGCCACAATGAACCAGGGTTAAGCTTAGCTTGGATTCTTGCTTCCATTTGCTTAAACAAATGTGGGTTTATTCTCTGTGAAGGGGTATCATGATGTGCAAATTGCGCCCTCCCTGGACATATACACTATCATTTCCCCTGAATGTATATTTCTAAAGACTGATTTTATGGATGTGTGATTTTTCACATTTTTCCTGCAATAAAAAGCTGAAATAATTATTAAGTTTGACACATTTATTTTGCCTAAAAATGAGAAATCTCCCCCCCGCCTCTTGATTCTTCACTGCTGCCCCTGTCTCAGCCCATTTGTGGATCTGTGGACCTTGTTTCAGTATTTACAATTGCAAAAAGAGTGAAGTAACCCTTGAGCCTCCCTTGGCATCTTGACTGGTTCTGGGGCCTGAAGCAAGACTAACCAAGACTTTTTTGTCTCTTAATCCTAACCACATATTTGACTTTAAGTAATTTTGGTTCCTGGAAATCCTTCATATCCTTCATATAAGTGCAAATCATTCATATAAATGCAACAAGATATATTTTTAAAATTTATGATCTTCCAATGCACCTTTGTTGCTACTTTGTCAGGCCGTTGTTTGTAGTCAGCCTGTGTGATCTTGTAGCAACCAACCAAGTGGACAATTTTTGTACTCTTTAAGCTTATAGGCTGCCTGACTCAAAAATTGTGGTTAGATCACAGCAATCAACACACTGATTGTTTTATTGTAATTTACCAATATAAGATAAAAACACGACTAAGTCGGTTTAGGCAGGAACATAAGGGAAAAGTAGGTCTTTTCTGGAGGCATCATGGGAACATGTTTGTCTCCTAGGGGAGTTGTGTGGCCTGGTAGCCATTGCTGACACCGTGAAGCCCGAAGCGGATCTTGCTGTGCGGACTCTGAAGGGGATGGGTTTGGAGGTGGTTCTGATGACGGGGGACAATGGCAAAACCGCCAGGTCGATTGCTTCTCAGGTAAGCTCCTGGATTCCTGAGGGTTTCCTGGACGCCTCCAAGGCTTCACCATGCAGTCGGTTTATGGCATATTTTCATTTAACGTATCTTGGTGCCCTCACTGGTGACTGGAGATAGGCCTTGGGAAGACCAGAGCCTCTTGAAAGGGGACCTTGGCTCAACCTGATTCTGGAGCCCGGTGCTGCCCCGGTGTCCGTCCTTTGGGGTTTTTCAGCCTTCTCTCTTTTGCTTTTAGGTTGGCATCACAAAAGTATTTGCTGAGGTGCTCCCCTCCCACAAAGTTGCCAAAGTGAGGCAACTGCAGGAAGAAGGGAAACGGGTGGCTATGGTGGGCGATGGCATCAATGATTCCCCAGCCCTGGCCATGGCTAATGTTGGCATTGCCATCGGCACAGGCACAGACGTGGCTATAGAAGCAGCTGACGTGGTTTTGATCAGGGTAAGTTGTGCGGTGGAGGGGAAGACTCTGCCATCGATTTGTGCATTTCCTTTCTGGAATTGAGAGGAAAAGCTACGGGGGAATCCGAGGGGCTTGAACTCAAGCTCTGCTTGGTGGAAGGGGCCCAGTAGGACTCCTTCAGGGAAGGGGCGTTATGGGTTGTCCAGCCTGCCCCCTACGTTCTTTGATCATATGTGCACTTTCTAAAATGGTCCAATGGTGTTGAGTTAGCTGAGGTCCAGAAAGGGATGCAGCTTCATTAAGTCACCAGGAATCTAAAGCGTTGATAGATAGAATTAATCCTGTTAAGTAATTTCTGAAACAACATATTTTGCAGAATGATTTGCTGGATGTGGTGGCAAGCATAGATTTATCACGGAAAACTGTTAGAAGGATACGGATCAACTTTGTCTTTGCTCTCATATACAATCTTATTGGTATTCCTGTCGCTGCAGGTATGTAACATTTCTGGGTGCTGCGTGGTGTCCTCCACAAAAGGTCTCTAAATTTATGTGCACAGAGCTAATCGGTAAAGCAAAAAGCTGCAGGAAATGATACCTGAGAAAAGAAGCATTAAGAGGGACATCAAATTCCAGAGTTTCCTCCCCTTTTGCTTCAGTTAGTTTAGGGAGAGAAAGGAGGAATTCTTGAGTTTAGTCAGACATAATAAATTTGGGGTAAGAAATTTCTTCTGTGCAAGTGGCTTCCTAAATCCCCTCTTTTCAATTTGGGTTCTAGTTTCTCCCCTACCTCCCCCCCCCCCCTCCAGTGACAGGAAGTAGTTGTGAAAATGCTTCCCGCTCCGTGTCTTTGAGTTTCGGCGCTCCTTTGAACTCTGGCGTGCTTGGCCCTAGGTGTCTTCCTGCCGATTGGTTTGGTTCTGCAGCCTTGGATGGGCTCTGCAGCGATGGCGGCCTCCTCTGTGTCCGTTGTGTTGTCTTCTCTGCTGTTAAAACTGTGAGTAGCTCTGCAGGCAGGAGGGGAGGAGCCCCACCGGGTGCCTTGTGCAGGAGAGAGAGGGTGAGGGGCTCCTTTTTGGGGGATCTCTGTGAGCGAAAGGCCACCCAGGGCCTGGCCTTTCGCTAAATGAGGAGGAGAAGCCAGGATCTTTGTAGTTGCTGGCCTTCCTCGTGGGCCACATCCTGTCGTGAGAGGGCTGGATGTGGAGGATGGGGAAGTTGCTCTCTGGATGGGCGCTGGTGGGTGGATGAAAGCGGAGCTTTAGGAGGAGCTGAATGCAAAACCACGCAAAGCAGCCTCGGATCAGAAGAGGCCTTCTCCTGGGGGGGGGGGAACCATGCTCCCTTCACAGTGCGCTGGGCAAGGAAGGCTTGTAATAATGTCATATTAAACAAAAGGTTTAGTAAACGATATGCTTAAAGCAGGTAGGAAAATGTTTTGAGGCTACGAAGCCATAGCCAGAGAAAGTGCCAGAAAGGTCAGCCTCACACATGGGGCTCCCGGGGCTGTAAGGTCTGGCTCTGCAGTCCCTGGCTCGAGTTTTCATGAAACCACCCACCAATCTGACCTGTGTTCCCCTTTAGTTATAAGAAGCCCACCTGCGAGAAGTATGAGCGCCATGCCCGCACCCAGGTGAGGTGCAAGAGCGCGTCAGAAATCAGTGTCCATATTGGGATCGACGATGTTGGACCAGGGTCTCCGAAACTGAGCCTCATGGACCGAATTATCCACTACAGTCAAGCCTCCATCAGCTCCCTCTTCTCCGACAAGCACTCCCTCAGCAACATTGCCCTGAGCGAGCCCGACAAGCATTCGCTTCTGGTTGGGGATTCCCGGGAGGAAGACGACACGACCGTCTGAAGAGGTGGAGCAGGGCCAAGGGGTCGACTCCCCCCAGGGAGATCAGCGTGTTCTACACTGTTTGCCCCTCTTAGCAGCCAGAACGGGACAAAAGATTCCAAAATGGAGCAGAACCCGGAGCTACAATACTGAGTTGCTTTTCAAGTTGATTTCTTGGGGAAGAAGCCAAAATAAGGATATCTTCTGGCTGCTACCAGCAGGTCTTGATGTTATTTCCCCATTTGCCAAAGAAGCGTGCCTTACTTCTACTCCACCCAAGCAGAGGCATTCTCAGGAAAGGCCACATCTGGAGCTGGGAAAGAGAAAAAGCAGAGCGGTCCTTCTTGGCCAACCCTGGACCGGACCCTCCTCCTCCTGAGGGCCCTGGTCCTCCATCTCGTCTGTCCCGCCCTCACTTGTAGCTTGTGAGGAATGCCGGAACAGACTCTGGTGGTCAGCAGGAATCAAAGCTGTGCCACCCCTTTACACTCCTCAAGTTTCTCCCCTTCTTGTTTTGTGTGGGAGTCCAGCAAAACCAGCTCTTCCTTTTTCCTCTGAACATCATCCAGACCCCTAAAGACCTGAGATTGCCACTTGCCTCCCTGTTGTGCTCATGGGTTTCTATCATGTTAGCTGAGAGGGTCCAGAGGCAGGGGGCTCTTGCACCCTCCTCCCTCCAACAGCTGCCTTCAAAGGACAAGATTTGGCTTGATTGCGAACAGCTGCCTGGAGAACAAAATGGGCCTTGCAGATGCCTTGTTGCTTTCCTAATTTTGAATTAGTGAGAATTGCAAGAATTAGCCCTGAAAGATCAGGGCTTTTTACTTGATCATGGACTTGTCTTCATTTAAAGTGGTGAGATACACCTATCAGGATCAAAGTTCATGAAAAAAACAGTTTACTTAATTTTCAGTTCGGTTTAAGTCACCCAATTTAGGCATTTTAATACCCCTTTGGAATACCCAGATGGAGAAACAGCGCCCAAGCCACAGCTTTTCAAAATCCTTCCTCCTCTTTTAGCCCTCTGGGAGTGGCCTCTGGGAAAAAAGGGGGTGGGGGGCTCAGAAAATGGCAGGGATTGTGTTGACAATACACAAAGAAAGAACTGCAAACTTCTTCATAGCTTAGTGAAAATCCACTTCCAGGGCTGCCTTGCACTATTTATTTATCTTTCCTGGGAGTTGCACACAAAAACCATCCTCCGTGCCCCGTTGCGTCCACTAAGGGCTCCAAGAGAGGGTGGGAAGGAAGATTGTGTCCAGGGAGAATTAGACATTTCCTCCGTTCCCGAGCCTGCTGGAAGCGAGTTTTCGCAATCCAGGCCCTGATTCTGCTCTTAGCTGATCAGGTTGTTAGGAAACGGGGCTCCTGCCTGGCGTACCCCTGCCCAAGAGGGCCCTTTCCGGATGGCTGTGGATTGTGGCTCCCGATATCCGCAGCTTTTCTCCTCCTCCTTGCTGGCCAAACCCTCAGAGCGAGAGGGGCCCATGACAGGAGCAGCCCTCAGCTGGCCCAGGCTGTGGGGGAAGAGCAGCATGGATGCTTTTGGGACGGAACAAAGTTTGGGCTTTTTAAATGTATATAAAAAATCCTGTTCACGGAGCGGGGCATGTTATTATATATTAATGTAAGTAGTAATATGCCTCAACGTAGTCAGGTGAATAGTATGACATAGTATGAAAACTGCAAATTCACCTGGTGAATTGAATTCCGTTGTTTCATCCCTTTTTTTTCTCAATCTCTCTTCTCCTCCAGTTCTCTGCCGTCTTGCCATGCCTTGGTAAGGCGGTTATTGGTTATTCCTGTTTGTGAATAAGGCTTTATACTTGACTTTGTTTCAAAGAACCAAAAGTTGCTTCTTTGCTTTGAATGTGCAATGTTCATCCCAAAATGTAAAGTCCCTTTCCTGCCTCAAGCACACCTGTTTATCAGGATTCTTAAATGATCAGATGTCAGCCAAACAGCTTCAAAAGCAGATTTTAGAACAAGCTTTGCATTTCCTTTATATGTATTTATTTTGGTTATTTGCTTCTGCTAGCTCCATGTATTTGAAACATGTTTTTCTGATTTATTTAAATTATTAGACAAAGTGTATATGCAGCCATATATGCAAGTCAGGATTTCCTTCCCGTTTTTTATCTGGCTTTTAAAAAGTCCCTTCTCTTTCCCTTCCCAGCTGGTGTCCACTTCTTTTAAAATACTGCGCATCCGTATCTCCCTTTGGTCTCCACCTGTAGGCATTTCAGGCAGGACCTTTTTTTAAAAAAAAAATTAATGCTGAAGAAGTGCTTCAGGGAGGCCGGGGTTAGCGATGGCGCTTTTAATGTCCTTTAGCCTCTTAGATCTTCCAAGGCAGCCTCCAGCCTCTTAAAATGCACCGGATTTGCTTCCCATCGTTCCTGGTTCCTGACATCGTCATCTGGCCTCATCCAGCAGCATGGCTGGTTATAATGCAAGCTGCAGTCCAAGCATTTTTGCAGGCTCCCCAAGTCACAAAAGGGGGGATGCTTCCAGAGCAGACTTCTCGCTCCAGCCATCATTCAGACCAAAATTTTGGTCATAAGTAATGACAGTCGTAAATTGAGGCACCCATATGACCTAACCCACTTTTTCACTTGTTTTTAAAGCAGTGATTGAGGGAGTCACATGAATCCATTCTCCTGAATGGACATTTTCCCAAAAAACATTGCAAATTGCAGTCACATGACCATCAGACACTTCAGCCAGTTGGTTGCCAAGCACCCAAAATGAAGTCATTTGACGGTGGGTGGGTGGGGTGTCTGACATTTTATGACAGCTGGTAGTGCTTTACAGTTGTAAGTCTTAGTGGTCACAAGCCAAGGATTACCTGTATATCTTATGCAAACATACTTCAGTGCATCCAAAATTAAAATAATGCAGAATTGGTTTTATTGCATTTATGATGGGGATTTCTGAAGATTTTTATGTCTGTTCTGCATATTCCATGGTGGCAGACATTTTACCTGCTGCTGCTCCTCCCAGTCTTGTTAAGGAGGCCCATCGGAGACAGACACCGTTGGCCAAACGTTTTGGGTAAATTGAGAAAACAGCCAAGAATCATTCTTCAGAGCCCTTGTGGTGATCAGAATTATCCTTCACAAATGAAGGCAAATGCCTTTCCCTTTTTTTCCACTCTGAAAAATTAACTGCGTGGGGTTGTTTTCTAAAAAAGCTAGAACTGTTTTTGCCTCTTTGCTTCCTGCAGTCAAAAGCTGAAGTCCCAGATCTGCTGATTCCATTTTCAGGAACCAGTCCAAGGTCGTTGAAAGAAAGCTAAAAAGAACTTTAAGCAATCGTGTGCAATATTAGTTTATGTGGAGCATATGTCATGGTCTTCTCAAGAATGTGCCTTCACTTCTATAAATGTTATTATGCTGGAACATTAAATGATGTGTTAAATTTTTCTTTTAATGATACTTTCTGCTTAGAAAAATATATTGTAGCTAAATATTCTCTTCCGTCAGAATTATTTATTGCATTCTTGAACATCGTCTCCTTTCATAAAATAAAGGAGGATTGAAAATCAGAGTGTCCAGTGATCTGCCCACCCAAGCTCCTGGTTGAAGTACTTCGGGCAAAAGAGCGGACACTGCAAAGGCGGAATGGCTCACGGTTACATAGTAAGGAAATCTCACCTGGAGCAATTGGGTGAAATAGGCTTCCATATTCATTTCAACCCCCTTCTTTCTGGTTTTATCTCGAGCAGCTCTGAACAATTCTGCCTCTTCTCCATTACAGCCCTTCAGGTTATCAGGAGCCACGGTGGCGCAGTGGTTAGAGTGCAGTACTGCAGACTACTTATGCTGACTGCGGCTGCCTGCAATTTGGCAGTTCGAATCTCACCAGGCTCAAGGTTGACTCAGCCTTCCATCCTTCCGAGGTTGGTAAAATGAGCACCCGGATTGTTGGGGAAAAGAGGCTGACTCTGTAAACCGCTTAGAGGGGGCTGTAAAAGTACCGTGAAGTGGTATATAAGTCTAAGTGCTATCATGTCTCCCCAAAGTATTAAGAAAAGGTTGAGCATGTCCAATGCCTCCGACTTGTGGAGGGCCACAAATTCTCCACCAGAAAGACACACACACACACACACACACACACACCCAAATGTCCTAATAGGCTTCTTATCTCTTGTAAAGAGACCCAACAATGCAGAAATATTGCTCAAGAAAAGAAATATCAATATTTCAGGTTTCTGGCCATCTTTATCAAAATCAGCTCATACCTATAGATGGCCCTTGGTGAACAATAGTAATTGGTACAGGAACTCCATTGTTAAGTGATGCAATCTGAAGGTTGTTCCACCTTATCTATTTAGTTTTTTTTCTCAGAATAGCACCAATATTGAATAACACCAATATTGCTAATACTTTTCCACTCAAAGGTATAGGAAGTGGAACCTGGAGTTTCCTTGCAAGCAAGAACTGGATGTTCTGGGAACTGACATCTCCGTGCACCAGAAAGCTTGCTGTTTGAGGAAAGCCATTCCGTCTTGTATCACTTGCACATAACGATTTGTCCAATGTTATTAAACACTTACTATTCACATAGCTGCATTTCTTAAAGGAGCAGAACACAGTTTGTCAGAGACCAGGTTAATGCATCGTGAAATTATAGTATGGTTTAGTTTCCATACTGTGTCTTGTGAGCCCAGCTATTATGCTTTTTAAACAATTGCACTGAGCCATAAAAAAGTACAAGTCCAGCCAACTGTGGCTTAATGAAGAAAATATTATTTGGAAAGCTCTTAAGTTTTCCATTCTAAACCGATACATTCCAAGTTAATATACTGTATACTGATAAAGGGGCAATCACGATTTCAACGCAGTCAGTCCCTCTGAAGTGGTTTCTTCTCTGCTTGACGATAGTCTCACATTTAGGTCGCAGGATACTTGCAAGACTGAGAGTAGGACCGGCTCACTTTATTCCACAGGTGGCAAGTAAGGCTCTTGCTGGTGTGGTCAGCAACACTTAATGGTCCAGTCCATCCAGGCTTCCCAGTACACAAACAGGGAAGGGAGAAGACTGAAAGAACTGTTTCGGTGGTTTAAGAATACATGAGGCTTATTTAGGCCAAACTCCTGGCCTCCTGCAGTGTGGTGGCACCAAAGGAACTAAAATGGCCTCCATGGGCATGAATTCTATTGAACTTGATAGGATCTGGACTGTTAGGGTCTGCCTGCATTTGAGAATTGATGACAGCTATCATCTCTGGAAGAACAGACTCAATTTAAATGAGGGAGGGAGGGAGGGAGGGATCAGTGATGGTGGCTGGCCTTCTGAATGCCTCTTTTGGAAACAGGATTGTCTAGTAACTATTCAATTTAGCAGCAGTTACTTTACTCTTGGGAATGAAGCGCTCTTTCCTGTTAAATCTGTTTAATTCTATGAATGACCAAGTTTGCACATCATCTTGAGCCATATTTTGTGTATGTACCCAAATCATTGTGGATTATTAACTATGGTTGATGAACAGTATACTGTGCAAGCCTATCTAATGGTGATTTTTCCCCCCAATAGATCATTATTACCCAAACCAAAATTTAACATAACTTGCAAAGTGCAACAATTCAGCCACTTCTGAATCTTTGATGCAAGATTAGTATTGGGTGGTGTTTTTCCAGTTGAGAGAAGGGGGGTCATCTCCTCAATCAGAACTTTGGCAGAGAACAGATATTACCACTTCACCTGGATCCAAGGGGGTGAATTCAACTATCCACTGCCAGAAAATTGTGCCATTCTCCACGGTCTTGGTCCAAATAGGGGTGAGGGGACATGTGCAGCTGATACTAAGATTGGAAGGACCTTAATCAGATTCTCCTCCTTTGCTGTCAAGCAGCCCCCTGGAGCTTAGCAAGGGAGAGCCTCCCTGCTACAGGCATGCACTGCTCGCTAAGAGTAAACTGCTAGAATGTCGTCCTTTGTGCTTTGCCTAAAGGCAGACTCACAAGAGAGGGCAACACACACGGAGCATGCCAACCAACCATGGCAGGGACGTGGGGGGGGGGGGGGCTTAGCCTGGATCATACAGATTGGCACCGTTCCTAACTCGATGTTGCCCTAGTATGGTTGGGACGCCAGCTCTTGCCATGTCCAGCTCTTGCTCCCAATGCATCTGAAAGGCAGGGAATAGGCGAAACTACCCAGAACACCACAGGGTGTTTTTGTTTGGCTACTTAACTGCTAGGAAGGAAAAAAAACAACAACCCACTCCAAGCATTTTCTGAAAGAGAGAATTTTCTTCATACTGTAAATACAGTAGAGTTACAATTATCATGAGAACTACATTCTAGACATTGACACACATTCCTACACAGGTACAGAGGAAATATATAGTTGCACCAAGCAAAAACAAAAGCCAAAACCAAAATAAAAGACATTCAACAGCCACATCTCCACATGTTCATGAGCAAAGAAATTGGCATTTCCCAAACAACTCTGCATTCTGGCACCTCCAGGCTCACAGGACTGTTTCTCGTTGGATAAAAACTGCAGGGGGAAAAACTACATAGCTTTCCATTACACAACTTTGTATACCCTTGTTTCTATTACCCAAGTTCATGTTAAACTCTTAGTCTAAAGTTTGGTTGCTGCCCAAACCCAAGGGGAGTTGGCTCATTTCCACCAGAAATGATGGGTGCACCCCAACTCCTTCAAGGATCCTGTATGATCCACCATCTGGATTCTCCTACCAGGTAAAGCAAGAAGTCCCCAGAAGAAAAGGCACAGCTATATGACCTCTAGGCTCCCTGATTGCAAGGAAAAGATTGCTGCTTGTACGAGCAAAGCAAAAGCTCAGTTTTCTTAAAACACAGCAAATGTTGGATGCTTAAGGCACTTCTCAGGAGGAAGAGGATGTGTTTCAAATGCTAACAGAGTTGTGCAAGCTGTCATGTGCTTTGGCCTTCTCCAATTTAATATTCTGCGAGTACTGCAAAAAAAGACGTCTGCTAATTTAAGGAGAATTACCTCCCCTCACCCATTCCACTCTAATGTAAATGCAGAAATGTGGGGTATTTAGCAGGACATGACCCCCTTCCCCCTTTCTGACTCCTTGAGGGGATGCCAAGAAAAGCACCTAATGCAACAGGCTGGCTCTTAAAAGGATCCTTCTCAAGGAGAAGAGTCAAAGGACATTTGGCTTAATCCAGATGTGCAAAGATTACAAAACTTGCTCTTCGCTTTATAGTGAAGTCCCCCAATTTAATATACATCGATCTGGGATCTATCTGGACAGTGATTATCATGTAAATAAATGTTCTTCTACTAGAAACTAAATGTAATCACTACAATGTACTTCTGCAGTGTTGATTACCCCAATGTACAAAATTTACTAAATTCCCAAAGTATACCTGTGTAGCTGGAAGTATGGGCTGGGGAACAGAAAACCCTGAATTTTAATATCTATTATTTTATTTTATTGTGCGGAAAGGAGCATTTCAGAAAATGACAACTGTTTTTGAACCACCTTTTATTATTTCTGAAAATACTGTCCCTGCTGTAAATATTGCCTCGAGTAAGGCACTAAATCATAATATACAAGGATTCAGAGATACAGTCAAACCATTTGGGAATGAAAAAGTGGAAAATGGAGCATAAAAAAGAAAAAAAGAGAGAGGCCGGGTTTCATAAAGAACCCCCTCTTCCGTGTCCAGAGAGGGCCTCGAACCCTCCATCGAGCCCGTCTGGTGGAATGACGTGGCTTCCTCCGGACTGAACAGGATCCGTGCAGAAGAGGCTCCTCTCAGGCTTCCTCATCCGAAACTGGACACTGGATATTATTCCTTATCATGATACATGAAAATGACACCCCCTAAAACTCATCAGACAAGACAGGAACATTAAAGGAAAAAAAAAATCTAAGTGCAGGCACATTGTGAAAGTCTTTTTGTCTGGATTTTTTTCTCCAGTTCTGGAATGTTTCACAAAAATGGGACATTCATCTTAGAAGGAAAACATGGGAGAGAAAGTTTCCTTCCACCTCTTGGAGGCTCAAAGGTTTTGAGGAAACCAGAAACTTTGGGAAATTTAATACTCAAAACACGGCAGCACCATTGCCCGTCTCCTGCCAAAATGGTGGACCTGGGCTTGGAAAGGCATTATGGGTATCCAGAGAGCTAACAAATTTCTCTTAAATACAAACTTTTTAAAAAATATTGTAATTTTAAAAATGTAGTGCATTTAAGACCTTGGTTTACTTTCATCCAGCTGCTACCAGATCCAGTAATAAAAAAAAAAAAAAAAAGGTAAGGAAAACAATTCTTAATCTAGTTTAATAATTTTGGAACAAATTATAAGTTAAGCTGTTCATAACTTTGAGAGTAAATTATATACACAAATAACAAAAAAAAGGTTCCTTTATGAGACAGTTAACTGTAATTTCTATCTTAAAAAAGTATCTGAAGAAATTTTTCTTGCTATGTCTTCAGCATGTTCTTTTCAGATAAGATACTCCACCATTTCGGCATCTTTGAGGTCCTGCCCCAAATTCTGAGGTGGGTTTTTCCTTTCTAGGGTGCTGGAATGGAA